ATCTGCTTATGATCGGAACTCGACACAGCTCCCATGCTACTCTCCATTGGAAATGAATGACTGAATGACCGGTCTGTCGCTTGTCGTTTGTCGGAGATAGTGGAAAGCCGGCTTGAAATGCAGTGGAACGCCATTATGACGAGGATCGTTTTCATTTTAAAACATAAATGCACCAGTGTAAATGTAGCCTTACATCTAAGGGGGCTGGGACGCATTCACACTACAGCCTCACGTGTGAACCACATCTCTGAGTGTAACCGGTGTAAACTAGTAGGTGTGTTCGACTTGACGCAGACCGACTGTGCAGTCCGATCGGTGTATTACAGTACCACGAGAGCTATAGAGAGCAGACTGCTCCGTATGCTTTAGATTCTCTCTCGCGGATGTCGAAACACTGATCGATCTGCGCCGCTTCTAGTTGAACACTAGTGCTGCAGACTTATTGGCTCACTGACATTGATGAGATTAACCCCTTAGGTATTGAAATTTGGTATCGAACGACGAGACGTTTTTCGATACTCGATGGTATCGAGGCAATTCGGTCGGTGCCTAAAAAGTATCGAACTCGATACCCAGCCCTTATTATAATGATTGCCTTTCTATTACTAATAATATAAAATCAATCATTATAATACTTTTTTGTATACCTTTTAATTCCTTTATTAGACAGACTTCTATCCGTATTAGACAGAACTGTTAAACAGCTACAGCAAACAATGAAGAAGGAGAATGTAAGCACTGTTTCAAATATACCGATATTTGAAAAATGCCAAATATTAGCCGATATATTAGTTGATCACTACTTTTTAAAGGGGTCATATGATGCTATTTTAAAGATCTTTATTTTGTGTATTTGGTGTAACAGAATATGTTGACATGCTTTAATGTTCAAAAAACACATTATTTTTCAAATACTGTACATTATTGTAGGTCCTCTATGCCCCGCCTCTCTCAAACGCTTCGTTTTCTACAAAGCCCCCTCCTTTGACAAGCGCAGTCTGCTCTGATTGGCCAGCTGACATTTCAGCAGAGGCTGTTATATCAGAAAGATTTAAAAAGCATGAGACACATAAATTTAATCAAGTCTCTTAAACATCCTTCATTCACAAAGTTATGCATGTTCATTTATTAGCCCTTGTATGGTGTTCAGGTCTGTGGGACCCATTTTCATTTTTTATCAAAAGAAAAATTATATATATATTTTTTCAAACTCAGACTCAGTGGCCTTGGCTCATTTTCTGTGAAGAACTTAGAAAAAATTTTCAATGACCACACACTGTACACCCCCCCCTACACATTTATATTACATACAGGATGTTCGGGTCCACCAGACCCGGGGCTAATAAACGTGTGGAATTTGTTGGTCCTGTGTACCTTCACGCTGTCCTCCTCCTGTCTGGGCCTGCTATTAGTATGTGTGTGTGTGTGAGAGAGAGAGAGTCTGTGAGAGTGTGAGTGTAAGAGTGAGTTTTGTGCTTCTGCCCCTGCCGTTCCCGCACAAGGTTGTAGCACTTTAATTCATAAATGTGATCTAACAAATGAGTTTAAGTGTGTTTCTGAGTAATTGAGAGAATATTTTTAAAGTATGCGTTTTGTTTGACCATATATACATACACACACACACACACACACACACACACATACACAGAGAGAGAGAGTTGTATCTGAGAGCAGGAGGAAAGAGGTTGAGTGAGTTTTGGGACGATGATCACTCCACACGCGTTTATCTAGAGTTTGTGACATTTGATTGACAGCTGGTGAAGTGGGTGGATCAGTGGGCACTTTGCATTCTGTGATGTTTTGTTTTATTATCTTACATTTTACATTTTATTTTTATTATTTTTAATTTTGATTTTATTTTTGATTTTATTAAATTTTTTCTTGATTGGCATGACAAAACTACATTGGCAGTATCAGTGTTTCCAGCATAGATGTGTACAGTGAGAAATAGTGAAAAGTGAAAATAAAAATAATGAAATGAAAATAGTAATTGTGCAAATAAACAAGTTCCATTAACAATACATATCTGTAGTGCATAAAATAACTGCATAAAATCCATGATTTTAAAGGAATAAAAAGTGGTATTTCAACAGATATTTTGTGGTATTTATTTATATCTATATTTATTTACATTTATTTGTTTGTTTATTTTTTTTGTCATGCCAATAAAGCTATTTGAATTGAATTGATATTTTGATATTTCTTTATCTCTGTGGCGATATGAAGATCTGATGTACACATACCTGTGACATTTCTGCGCACAGGGCATGTGATCTCTGCTGGTTTTGTTTTGTGAGGTCAAAGGTCGTGTCTCTTATCGCATTCCATCCTTCTCACTCACAGATTCTGAAGTAACATTTGGAGAATCTGCATTGTTTTGTTGGGTCACCATAGAAACGCCTGTCAGATAAGCAGACACTGTTGATTTCCTGGGAAGACGAAGTGATGCGCTGCTGTGTGTTTGCTGATCTGCACTGCCCTCGTGTGGCAGGAATATGCTTGTGCAACATTGATTTATTTAATATTATCATCACACAGTAACCTACAATTAGGGCTGCTTGATTAATAAAACCGGAAACCTGATATGGATTGTTGCAATTCTAAAATGGCAAAGGCTGTGATTTAATTATATATATATATATTATATATAGTGTATTTTAATAATAGGTAGTATAGTAGTAATAGTAATGTTTCCTTTATTTTTGTAGTACATTTAATATTTGTAATAATAATAATAATAATAATAATAAATTATTATTATTTTATTTTTATTATTATTATTAATAATAATAATAATAATAATAATAAGCCCTGCAAACAAGCACAGAAAGCAGTTTTTTTTCTCAGAAAAATCGCTATTAGATCTTTTCCTCAAACTGTGCAGCCCTACCTTATAATCTCCATTTAACAGCAGCAGTTTCTAGTGTTTAGAAAATGTGAAATGAAAATGTCTTTGATTAAAAAGTGTGATTTTTCTGTGTCTTAAAAAATACTATCAAAATCATATTGTATTGATATAGTTTTGAAATGGATTCTGATTAGTTTATGGCCCATGATGTCTTTCCCCTCCTCTTTCTGTTTGCTTTTCCTACTCTCTCTCTTTCCCACCTGTTTTCCTCACACTCTCTCTCTCTCTGACTGTGTTTGGTTGTCTTTCTCTGTATTTAGTGTTGATTTTTCTCTTTCCTGCTCCTGTACAGACTCTCAAACGGCTGATTCCTGACGAGGTAGGTGCACACGCGTGTGTTCTGTGTGTTTTAACGTTCTTCCCCGTCTCTCTGTCCCCTCACCTCCATGTAACACCACTGTCCCCATGACCTTTAACCTTTCACCCCTCACCATGTGTCTGTAGCGCACACTTTTCCTCGCGTCCGCCGTCACCCGTCTGATCACAGCTGACCTCAGATCAGTGTTTCTGTGTCCTGTCCTGCTGACAGCAGAAACTGATCTGACGTCAGTGTTCAGTGACGCCCACACACTCACTCACTCCTGTCACAGCGAGAGGAAGCGTTTTCATGAAACCAAATGGCTATGAATTCATATTTGTCAGCAGGATCATGAAATGAGGAACGTCTACACAAGAATTTGTAAAATAAGAGAACAGCTGCTAAAAATATAAATATTAAGCAGCATGTATAGTGCTTATAGAATATAGTTTCAAATATTTTTTTTCTCCAATATTGACCCAGTCAGACCAATACAGATGAAATAATATCAGGATTCATTCATTAACTAATTAGCTTGCTTTATTTACTAACAATATTTATTTATGTTCTCGCAAATTATTTACTAATTTACTTTTTAAAACTTCAGTTACATTTTTATTTTAGTTACTTCTTCTTTTTTTTTTTTTCTCAGTAAAAGTTTTTTTCTTTGCCCGGATTCAAATGTATTCAAATGGGTTATTTGGATCAAAAATATTTTACAAATCTGTTAATTTATTAAATATGATTTTTTTTTTTTTTTTAAATAATGAAAAATAATAATATCAGGATTCATTCATTAACTAATTAGCTTGCTTTATTTACTAACAATATTTATTTATGTTCTCGCAAATTATTTACTAATTTACTTTTTAAAACTTCAGTTACATTTTTATTTTAGTTACTTCTTTTTTTTTTTTTTTTCTCAGTAAAAGTTTTTTTCTTTGCCCGGATTCAAATGTATTCAAATGGGTTATTTGGATCAACAATATTTTACAAATCTGTTAATTTATTAAATATGATTTTTTTTTTTTTTTTAAATAATGAGAAATATTTTGGGATCTATTCATTTATTTTAGAAATGAATACATTTTAATAATATGAACTAAAAAAATAATATATAATAATTCATGATGAATTGATGTTGTTCAATGTTGTGTAAATTGTTGAAAGAAATATGAGATTATCATAGGACAAATGATAGATAGATAGATAGATAGATTTAGAATATCAGGCTTTATAACAAAGATAAAGATGCTGTTGTTCAGGATTGAATGTGATGGAGGATGTAAGTATCTTAGATTTTTCTGCTGCTTTACTCTCGTCTCTTCTTGAAAAGATTGCTTAGAAGAGCCGGATTACAGGATTGATCTGGAATTTCCTCAGACGCCTTTTGTTCTTGTTGATTGACAGACTTGATGAGATAAAAATATAAAGATAATTAAATTTGAGATGATTTCAGTTTACTGTTCCCAGCAGAGCATGTTCTGTCAATTAAACTCTGTTTCTCTGTTCAGAATGAAATACTAGCGTACTGTTTACTGCACATTGCATTCTGAGATTTTTTTTGTTGAGTTCTGATTATATTTCGCATCTTTGCCAGTAGGACATTTGAGTCCATGCATACAAAAATTTCGCAAACTGTGCATGTAGGATGTTAGTATGTCATTCTGAACATGCAGTGATTAACAAGATGCAGAGTGTAAAATCCTCCTGTGTGTTTGTGCTGTGGTCTGTCTGAGCTTTGACCTTTGACCTTTGACCCTGTGTCAGCTGGAGCGCTTCACCAGCATGCGGACGAAGAAGGAGAAGGGAGGCACGATGGGAAACAGACACTTGTCAGCTGCCCAGTATGAAGTGCCGTCCCAGAGCGCCTCGCTGAACGAGCTGTCAGATGAGTCTGTGCTGGAGCTGTTTGAGCAGATGCTGGTGAGTGTGTGTGTGTGTGTACCTGCTTAACCATATTTTGGGAACAAATTTGTACCCATAAGTGAGCTAAACCTGACAAAATCTCCATAAACCTCATTTTGGGCCCATTCCCATTTATAAAATCGGTAAGGAAAGATTTTTTAGAATTGTAAAAATGCAGTAAGTTTTCTGTTAGGGTTATGGTTTGGATTAGGGTTAGGTTATAATATTTAATAATATTTAATTTCTGACACTTTTGAGTGTGTGTGTGTGTGTGTGTGTGTGTTTGTTTGCCTGGTTTAAAATATACCTAACAGTTATTGGGGTCAACACTTTTTGGCATATCTATTAATTTCACTTTTTGGTTGGATCTATTAATTTATTACTGTCTGTAGGTGGATATGAACCTGAATGAGGAGAAGCAGCAGCCGCTGAGGAAGAAGGATATCATCATCAAGAGAGAGATGGTGTCTCAGTACCTGCACACCTCCAAGGCTGTAAGAACATACTCTGTCCGGCCGTCTGTCTGTCTGTCAAAGTTTAGTCTCAGTTGTTTATTTCATACATTAAGTGATTTATATGTATATCGTCATATAATAAGTTACACGCATCTACTGCTGTAAACACACTCTTTCAGTCCCAGCTTTGATGTCCAGTGTGTGTGTGTGTGTGTGTGTGTGTTAAATCTCACACATATTCTGTCTGAATCTGAATCCATCGGTGAATCTCAAAGGTGATGAACATGATCAGGTGCTCTTCCTGTGGTGGTTTCACACTCTTCCTGTCACACACACAGGATGTGGTTCATGCTGCTCTTCATCTGGATCATAATCTGATTTCTTAGCGCTGACATTTCATTCTATTGCCACAGGACTAGTTTGAAATTGTTTTACTAGGATAATTTTTATTTATTTATTTTTTACTTGTCTAATATTTACTCAGTCAGACCAACACAGATAAAATAATATCAGGACACATTTATGTAATACCGTATTGACCCGAATATAAGACTATGTTTTTTTCTTGGAAATACATCTGAAAAAACGCGGTCGTCTTATATTCAGGGTCTAGACTTTGACATGTCAATAATACACCCACAACACTAGGTGGCGCCAAATACGCATAAAACGAGTGTGCCATGAAATACGTAATGTAATGCGTGTTGTAAAGATCGCGAGTAAAAACAAAAGAAAAAGAAAACCTTACAGCTGCACGAGTCGTGACTGTCACGTTACCCTGATGGGAAAATTAAGTACTTGTAATTAGATTAAATTACATTTTAAAATGCTCGTAATCAGACTACAGTTACTTTTTTTGGGATTACATGATTACATATTATTCATGCAATATCAATAAATTATTCATAATTTATCAATTCTCCTAATTCCTCTTTTTCATCTTTTTAAATGTTCCTTTCTAAAATATCCTACCACTTATATACACTCAGAAAGTCTTTTGTGGACATTCACACAGAGATCAGTAGAAGGCATTTGTCTTTCAAACATTAAAAGGCACAAATTCACATTATTTCTTATTTACATGTAATGCAGGCATTCCCAAACTTTTTTTGTCATCTGAACATCTTTCATCTAATATATTTACTTAAAGTACCCCTGAGATTTGAAAATAAATATTGAATAATTAAGTATCACATTTGCATGTTCACGGTTCTCTGACGTTGGCTAATGGTCACATGGCATGCAGGTAAACAAATAAAATAATTCATTTTTTTAGGAAGTGTTTTATTTATTTTTATGTTATTTTAAAATTATTATATATATTTTTTTTAATTTATGTTGTTAATTTCAACGAATTGAATATATTTTCTTTCTTTTTGTATTTTTATATCAATATGGTACAAGATTATCCTATTTAAATCAATGTGACAAGTGAGTTAGGTCAAAAGTAATCTAAAAGTAATCCGAGTATATTACCTGGAATGTGTAATGTAATGGATTACATTACAAACTTACATTTTTGGCATGTAATTTGGAATCCGTAACGAATTACAATTTTCAAGTAATCTACCCAGCTCTGCCTGATCATATCGTAAACTCATTTGACCCTCTGTGTGTTTAGGGTAAGAGTCAGAAGGAGAGCTCGAAGTCAGCGTTGGTGTATATCCAGGAACTGAAGACCGATCTGAGAGACACACAGTTACTGAGCTGCCTGGAGTCACTGCGTGTGTCATTGAACAACAACCCCGTCAGGTACACACACACACACAGACACTTGCATTGAAGCGTTTCTATGTGTCTAATATCAGCTGATGGTTGTATGTGTGTTTCAGTTGGGTCCAGACGTTTGGAGCCGAGGGTTTGGCTTTGCTTCTGACGTTCCTGAGGAAACTCCAAGACGAGAGAGACGAACCTTTGTATGACATAAATACAGTGACACACACACACACACGTTCATTTTCTAGATCTTATATGAGAGTGATTCTTTATTGAGGGAAACTTTTAACTACTTTTTAAACCAATATTTCATTCACATTTAGAGCTGTAATATAAACTTAAGATGCCGTTGTAAATATAGTTATAACTAAAGGGTTCTTTTAGACACGTAACCCTGTAAAGCCTGACATATGACATAATAGTCAGAAAAATCTAATTATTTTTAATTGAACGGTTTATTGATCTTTAGACAAAATATTAAAACAAATCTAAAAAAAGTTTGCATATGTGTTTTTTGAGTATCTTATCTGATACATTACGGCTCATATATCATGATATAGTGAGAATATGAAGGAAAAAACACCTCAATTTTATTCAAGGCCCAAACTGAGTAAAAATATACAATTTGGTGCAGATGCTGATATTTACAGTGGGTACGGAAAGTATTCAGACCCCCTTAAATTTTTCACTCTTTGTTATATTGCAGCCATTTGCTAAAATCATTTAAGTTAATTTTTTTCCCTCATTAATGTACACACAGCACCCCATATTGACAGAGGGGTGCTGTGTGTACATTAATGAGGAAAAAAAATTAACTTAAATGATTTTAGCAAATGGCTGCAATATAACAAAGAGTGAAAAATTTAAGGGGGTCTGAATACTTTCCGTACCCACTGTATATGAACAAAAAATATGAAATTCTGATTGTAATGTAAATCAATGAGATCTTTGTAACAGTATAGCAGATACTTACATGTATCTCCAATAATACGTAATAGATGAGATTTAAATGATTAATTTGATGATCAAAGCATATAATGCAATGCCAGATAATGATGATTGAGAGATAAACATATAAATACGAACAAATTTATACTGATGAATATCATATTTCTGCTTCTAAATCCTCCAGAACATCTTGCCCAACAGACCTCCATTGTATTACTGTAAATGTGCTTATATGCTTAATATACATACAAATAAACATTCCTCAAAGAACTGATGATCATATTTGATACTCGTGATTTTTCATAAATTATGTCTGGATAATCAAGTGAAGCTATAGGTTACTTTATAAAAATCAGTAAAGATTTGACAGCAGAAAGACACATGAAGCACGAGCTGAAGGTGGACGTTTGTATAATTATACATATAGGACTTTAAATCTATACAGTCTAAACTATCAATCAGATGATGGAAGGCATTTAGTAAATTGTGTGCAGCAGGTTTTTCAGCAAAGTTTTGATAATGTTGATCATTTAGAGGCTTTAAAATTTGCTCATCAGATATAATACAGTTGGATTAATAAGGTAGTATTTTTATACTAATGTTAATGTATTGGCCAATCAGCATCCAGGATCTCAACTATCCATGATTTGAAAATGCACCTCAAGCACATGATGATGTAATTTGTCTCTCTCACTCTCTGTTTTTCACAGGAATGCTGGGATTGGTGTTAAATGTCAACATGAGATCATTCGATGTCTCAAAGCCTTCATGAACAACAAGGTCAGAACAGATATGAGCTCATACTGAATACAGACTGTGGAAACTGTTATTAACATCTGTCTGTCTGTCTGTCTCTCTCTCAGCACGGTCTTAATGCCATGCTGACGTCAGAAGACGGAATCCCTCTCCTGGTCCGATCCATCAATCCAAAAGTCCCGCACATGATGGTGGATGTAGTCAAACTGCTGTCCGCTATCTGTATCCTCGAGCGTCCAGGAAACACGTGAGTGTGAAGCTGAAAGCAAAAGCAGTGTTCACATACAGTGTGTTCAAATGGCGTTTCAATAGCCACACAAGCTCATCAAGTACTAATTAGACACCCAAGAACAGAAATCATGTTCACCTGAGGAAGTTACCATAGCAACAGTCCTTTAGGATCAATAAAATCATTAATACGGTCCTGTCACTATTGATCTCTTTAATGTAGCATATAGAGATGTAAGACAATAGGTTTGCACAAGTATTTAACAAATAAAACTAGTGTTTGTTTAAAAATTGGTCATCAATGTTATTTTAGTATCATAAATACACTATTATGCTTTTGTTTAAAGTTTAGTATGAATTTTATTTTTATATTTTTGTTTTCATTTTAATTGCAGTTAATGTTTTAGTATTTTTTTTCTTCATTTTTTAATGTCTATATAGTTTTTTTTAAGTTTACTGTATAGTTTAGTGCTGTCAAATTGATTTGATCACAATTAATCGCATCCAAAATAAAAGTTTGCTTTAATGTAATATGTGTGTGTACTGTGTATATTTATATGTATTTATAAATACACACACACGCGTCTGTGTGTATATATATATTCACAAACATGTACTGTATATATTTAAGAAATATTTACACACACACATAATAATTTAATTTAAATTAACATTTTTTTTATGGTAACATTTTTAGCCGACTGATAATTCCTCTTTCACATTTTCACGTTGTTTTTGGTATTTGAAGTAAAGATGGAATATAATAAAATGCAAATATTCGACATTATGAAACATCATGAAAATACTGAAATAAGTTTGAATACTATAATTACTAAAAATTAATTTAAGTTATATAGAAAAATTAAAATCTAGTAAAAATGCACACACAAAATTAACACTTAAACTAAAATGAAAATGAGAAACATGTATATAAAGACATATAAAAAAATGTAAAAACAACAAAGCCAATCATTTCACACTTAAAACATGAAAACAAATGAGCGTTACAAACCCCTAACGGCATGAGGGTGAGTAATTAATTACAGAATTTTCATTTTTGGGTGAACTATCCCTTTGATGTTTTAGTAATTTTGTTGTGAACCAAAACTTTAAAAAAAAAAACTAAAAAAAAAAAAAACTATGTTGACTTTAAAAAAAAAAACTAAAAAAATATGACAATAGCACACAACAAAATTGCTAAAACTTTCAAATTAAAACTGAAAATATAAAAATAAAATTTCAAAATATTAAGAAAATCTATAATAGTATCTCAATTATACTAAAATAACCTCACAGTATGTATACGCACTGTATAATGTGTCCAACAATCATTTAGTGTTTGTTTTACTTAGTTCATCACATCTTGTTGCTGTCTAACTCATCACTGATTTATATAATGGCACAATCAAAATTTCAGTTTCACTTAAGTTCTCCATCTGTATGTGTGTGTGTGTGTGTAGGAGGTGAGGTCGATTGAGAACGAGGAGCTCAAGGTTCAGTTGCAGGTGTTTGAAGAGCAGGCTGATGAAGACTCTGAAGATCTTCGCTCACGGTTGGACGATGTCCGTCTTGAGATGGAATATCCTTCACTGCTGACTTTAATCATCTGTCTGAGACACTTTTTGAAGAGCCCTGTGTTCAACGCTGGGCTTTGTAGACTTATTTACTTTGTAGATTTTGTTTTCCTGCATGTGATTGTAGTTCAGAAACTGGCCACCAGGTGTCTCAAAAGTGCAGAATCATTATTACAAGCTGAGACGATCCTTCAGCTCACAGAGCCTCATAGTTTACACTCTATAGAGCAGGGCTATGAATACAAAATATAAAGAAGTGTAGAATATGCAGGGGTGCACATAAGTGGTACGCAGGTGCGCATGCGTGGCCAAAATAAAAAAATGTGCTGTGTAAATAAGTTCAGACCGCTCATTTGACAGCTGTTAATGCACAATTACCATTTTAGATCGACAAACTGTAATACTCTATAACAGTGTTTCTCAACCCTGGTCCTGAGCGCCCCCCAACACTGCACATTTTGTATGTCTCCCTTATCTGACACCCATTTCAGGTCCTGGAGTTTCTTTTAATGTGCTAATGAGTTGAAAAAGCATAAGTCTAGGCTATCCACTGCCGTTTTCAAAACACAATGCAAAACTGCGACATTTCATTCACTGGTGCTCTTCAGTCGGCAGTGCATATACTTGCTGATTTTAAGTTAGAAAATGATGAAAATTCATATATTAAAGAAAAAAAAAAGTAAATGTTAGCATTTTATTTTAAGTTTACTATAAAAATAATTGTACTTTTAATTAATACACCCTTTTTATTTTAAAATATAATAGTATTATCACACTTTATTATTTTATTAAAAAGAAAACTAAATAAAGTGCAATAATATTATTATTATTATTATTATCACTATTATTAATTTATTATTTTGTATAGTTATATTTACTATGTGCAGTGTGAGGACCAAACCGAAACTTCAGGCGCTCTTATGAGAACCAGGCTGAAAAAACTTATGTGCACCCCTGAGAATATGGCCTTTTTGAATAGATTTTTAAATCTCATTTTCATGTTTTGTCCACCGGATGGCGTCAGAAATTCTAGGCTGGATTTTGTGTGTTTGTCACAACCAGTCTAAATCAATCATTCACAAAAGATAAACGGCAAGAAAAAAATAATTTAATTGAAATTTATTTGAAAGTTGCATCATTTTATAGTCTTAGAAATGATCACAGTGGAGCTGAATGAAATATAGTTATCTCATTAAAATAAAAATTCATATAATATTCACTGCAGGTATTATTTTAGTGTTATTTATTATAAATAATCAGCGTTTATTGCTATTCTGAATAAGTTTGCATTTCATTTGTAGTAGTTTTATGTGCATTTGCCATTTTTAATGTGTTTTAAAAATATTTTTAAATGATTTTCGTTTATTTTTAATTCAGTTTTAGAATTTTAAATGATTTTACTACTTCAGCAGAAACTTAACTTAATACCCCAGGCAGCATTTCTAATTTTCATCAAATATTTTATTTTATTTCAGCATTGTCTATTAGAATTTTTTTTTTTTTTTTTTTTTTTTTTAAATAGGTTTTTTTTTTTTTACTAATGACAAAAACACTGGACAGATGTATTTTCAGTTATGGAGAGTAAACTACATTAGACGTAACTGTTTGATGAGTTTTTGTTGTCGTTCTTTAACTCTGTCACTGATATGACTGAAGTCTTCCAGATCTTGATGAACACAGTGAAGGACTCTAAAGCTGAACCTCTCTTCCTGTCTCTGCTGCAGCACCTGCTACTGGTGCGAAACGACTACATGTCCAGGTATGAGCGCTCACCCTTCACCCTGCAGTGACCTTTCACCCTGTCTGAAAACTTCAGAAGTCACTATTGAATTTCGAGTGAGCTGATGCTGTCGATGCGTGTTGTATTGATGAAACGGTGGTTGACATCTTGGCTGTCATATCGCTGACTTGCATATATATAAGCGTGAGCTTGAGAGGTTATTTGACTGTCAGTCACTGAGGTTACAGCTGTCAGCCGCTCTCAGGTTATGTAAAATGGCAGAAAGTGAGGTTATTGTGTGGTTGCAAAGCAAGAAAAACACCTGTCCAAAGTTTGGATAGGTGAATGAAGGGAAGAAAAAAATGAATTGAATAAAAAAAACACAACCAGACAGAATACACAGGGGTCAGCCGCAATACAAAAGCTCTCTATCTGTCTGCTGTCTACATAGGCAACGTAATACATGAAATTGAACCTCATAAGTGACTGATTCTGAACCCTACATAGGCAACATAAACATTGTGCTGTTCACCAGGGTTATTATCGATAGCTAAAACTGTAAGGAAACATTTTCATTGCTTGAAATAAAACGGTTAAAACATTAATAGATTTTTTACTTTGAACATTAATTGATTTTTACTTCAGCTAGGCAGCCAAGGCAACATTTCTTGTTTTCATTTAGTTTGTTGAAGTACTAATATAAATAAACTAATAAATAAAATGTAAGAAAAACTATATAGAAATTCTAAAAAAAAATGACAAAAGCATGCAATAAAATAAACTTTTTTTTACTAAAATTAAAATAAAATCTACTTCAGAATATTAACAAAACCTAAAATAGTATCCCAGTGATACTTAACACAAAGTACGCAAGACTCAACTCTATTGATTCCCATAAAGCTGGTTACTGTGCTACTTGGGCATAAAAATACATATCACACAAATAATATTGATACTTTCCATTATTGAATGAAATATAATGAACACTTTTCTCTCTTCATAAGTTATCTTAGATAATAATTTTACTGTTCTCAGGGATTGTCTTCCTCATGAAGGATGAATTTAATCGAAACGAGGCATCTTGGAAGGTTGTGTAATTCTACTCTTTATCTGCTTAACCCAGCAGCGTTTGAGTGGCCAGCTGTAGGCGGGTCACTAGGTTGAGAACTGCGCTAATGTCTTTATTTAGTTTAATTGTCGCTGAGGTTACAGGTGTAACTGAGTTAGAGAAGAGGACTGATTTCAGTGTCCCGTCTGTACAGACATTATTGGATCTGCTCCAGTAGTGTGTACAGGACAATTTAAGAGTCACATCTGATAGTAAATACAGTCAATCCCAAACACTGACTGTTTGAACGTAGCCAAAGGAGAGTCAGGGAATGATTTAAAGCGATAGCACAACCAAAAATAGAGAATTGTGACAGTATTATTTTAGTATTATTTATATGCTATTATAGTATTTATTAATATTTTGATTTAGTTTTCTGTTTATATATTTCCATTTTAATTCTAAGTAGTAATTTTGTTATGTGCTTTTGCATGTTTATTGATTTAAAATATTTCTAGTTCGTTTATTTTAACTTCAGTTTTAGTCATTGTTGTGCTTCAATTTCAACTCGTTTCAGTTAGGCAACATTTCTAATTTTCATTTAAGTTTTTATTTTATTTTATTTTAATGAGTGAAAATGGTTTTTAATAGTTTTAGTTCTAGTTAACAACAACAACAATGCATTTTCACAGCCCTTGTGTTGCTCCAAACCTGTATGACTGACTTCTGTGGAACACAAAAGAAGAAAAAGACTTATGCAATTACAATGAACAAAGAAACTTTTAAGCCCCCAAAAAAGTATACAAAAGCACTATAAAAATATTTCATACAACTCAGGTCCTATATTACACATCTTCTGAAGTCATATGATAGCTTTATATGAGGAACTGACCAGCATTAAGCTGTTTTTCAAAGAAAATCTCTGTGCATTCCTAAGTACTGATGTCCAATTTGTAAAAGTGTTTTTGTCTGATTTGGATCTTTTCAGTGAATCGGTTGATTTGGTTCACAATTTTGCTTCATTTGGTTGTGAATTAGATCATTGAGTCAGTGAAAACCAGATCAATTCAATCAAACCTTACTGGAGGTGAAGATTTTCAGTTATTATAACTTGTGTTTAGTTAGTATTTTCTGTTTTCACTGCATGAGTCATATGGACTGCTGTCCAGATGCTTTTACATCAGTCTCTGTTCATTATAACAGCATGAAAAAGAGCAACCAGTACAGTCTTTTCAGTTTTCCTTTTATGTAACACAAAAGAAAAAAGTCTTACAGGTTTGGAACAAAATGAGGCATAATGATTCTTTTTTGTTGAACTGTCACTTTAAAAGACGATCGTAGTTATTCTCGTGAATGAGTTTGAGTTTATGGATAAAGTAAGGAAACAGGAGAGATGGATGCAATCAGAGACGAGGAGACGTTTGATTGATGGGCAGCAGGAGGCGGATGCGGTTGCCGACGGCGACCGGCTCTAAATAAGAACCCAGCCACTGTATGACACCCCCGCTTCAATTAACTAGCAGACACACACAAGCATGTATACACACACACACACACACACACATAGTGTGTGCATTTAAAGGTTTTCTTGGCAGAGAAATGATTGCAGCCCAGAAAAGACACATTTCTTTGATTTCTGTTTCTCTAACCTGCACATCTTAAGTCACCCACACACACACTCTTATTCTCTCTTAAACAGACAGCCTTTCATACACACACACACACACACACAGAGAGAACAGAAAAGAGCTGGTGGGAGTGTGAAAAGACACAGACAGATGGAGAAAGAGTGTGTGCGTTTGTGCGTGTGTGGTGGTTTGTAAACGCTTTCAAGATGTCAGAATTGTTGCTTGTTCCTTGTCTGCTCAATGTGATCCGACAGGCAGGAAATTGGAGAGCCTGTGTCTGTCCTGAGCCTCTCTCTCTGTGTGTGTGTGTGTGTGTGTGTGTGTGTGTGTGT